AATTTAGTCAAAATCTAATAATTGGGTCCATGAGAAAATCCTCAAACTCTTCATTTTTTATGTATGTTTCGCGATAATGCTTTACCACCTTGTCCGATTTATATGATTCTTTTTTTGTTAGTAAGGGGGTACCTCAGGGGTGGTCCCATATAAATTTGGTTAAGATATGGTGATGGCATCTGCACGTTTTTGAAGTCGGTTTTTTAAAACTTTTAATTTCTAATCTTGTAATAATAATTTTTGTCCAGCCTTCAATACATGTAGGAAATATAATTTGTTTTATAAAAACAATATTGCAGCCGAACAGGCTATTCCACAACTTAAACCCTTTAAAAACAAAAAACACTCCTCAGCCCCATGGTGGAATGCTGAGTGTGATATATTAATTTCAGAACGACAAAAAGCTCTTATGTACAAAAATAATTCCAATATCTCCATGTTCAATATCAAGAAATTATGGCTAAGACAAAAAAGGGGTTAAAAAATAAATCAAGAAAAAACTGGATCAGCTGAAAATCATCACTTAATAAGAATAACGGGCAAGAATAATGAATAGAACTTGTTCATATAAATCTTCAACTTACAATGTCAATTGGATCGATCCTTTTTTAATAAAGTCGCGCTACCATCGGCTATTTACCATATCAACAGAACATTATAATCCAGTAAATCACTTTCTTTTAAAACCACTGACACTTAATGAATTAAATTATGCTTTAAAAAATAACAATAATACTAGCACTGTATGACAATATCAAATATCCCATGCTCACACATTTACCTCTAGCAGTTAAAATACTACTTCTTGATATTTTTAATGATTTCATATCACATGGAATAGATGAAGATAGCCTTAAAGAAAGTCATTGTAGTTCCAATATTAAAAAGTGGAAAAGATCCAAAACTACCAAATCTCAAAACTGGGCGGGTTCAAAATCTAGAAAATGTATAAATTTTGTATAAAAAAAATAAAAATTAAAAATCAGTTTGATTAAAAAAAATCTTCTGTTTCTCTGTCCTGGCTGCTCTACTCCTGTTCCTACTGTTGGTTCTCTGACCTGTTCAATTCTCCTATATGTTGTCTGATTTACCTTTCTTATGCTTTTCTGCTCATGTCTTTGCTCCTCAGCCCAACTCTCCTGGCTGATATTTTGTTCAACCTTTGCTTTTCTCAATTTACAAATAAAATTTCTTTACCTTTCTCAAATGCTTTTTTTATTTTAACTTTCCAACTTAATAATTAACAATGCCCTTTCTTAAAAAATTCATGACAATCTCCCAAAATCTTATGACAATCTATCAACTTAAAAATTAAAACAACAACATCCTTGATAATTTCACCACAGAAGAAACTTTATCCTGTGATTTCACTCATAAAATTGTTCTAGACTCTAAATCGTCCAGCTTTGCTTACTTCAATTTTGACATAATAATCCTAAATTTCGTTATCTGGGAATTTCCCTTATCAATATATATTCATGGTATTTTAAATATTGATGGCATATTGATCTTATTTTGTAATGCAGTACCAGTTTAGAAAATAAAACTCATACAAATTTGTAATACAAAATAAATTTTATTTGAACAAATAAAGCAAATATTTTAAAAATAAAAACCATACACCTACATACAAAAAAACTATAAATTGACATTTATTTGCTGAGATTCTATGCGTATATATCATAACATATATTTTATTACAAATCTTTTTAATTTGAACTTTATTGAGGTCTCAATTTCAAATGAGAGATCAAAGATATTGTAATTTTAAAAGTGTCATTATAAATTTTTATAAAGTTTCGTACAGATACCTATATAAAAATTATCTAAAACTGCTAGCCCAGATCTTTCAATGATCCTAGCAAAATGGTGTCGCGTTACAAACTAAACTGCTTCCTCCTAGTGACTCATACTGATCAAAAGTACCACTCGAGAGTCGCACACTACCGAAGTATACCGAATGAACTGCCTTCAAATGAGTTTTGAAATCGAATATGTCGATCAAAGTAACTTGGTTACGCCTTCTGTGTCTTCAACTAAAAGTTTGGACAGAAAATGTTCAGCGAAAGAACTTCTTTCAACTTCAAATGATTTAGACATCGAATACTATGTAACGGCAAGTTTTAAAATTTTCTGTATTAATGCCAGTACCAGTTTCGGAGTCTAACACAGTGTTCCACGGAACCACATATCTGCCACATTAAAACCATACTATTGAAACAAACTAGAGGACATTAAAAATGGTTTCATTTATTAAAAAGATTAAGGAACTCTGTTGTTGTTATGCCACTTTGGTTCAAATTTTTTTATTTGTCAGAAGGCCGATTTACACGTATTCAGTAGCTGGTGCTAGTCTCACTGGCATACCAGCCCTGGCATATTAGTGGCACCATATGAACACCTATAAGGTTGAGCATTGTTTATTGATTTTTTTGTATTTATTTGATAAAATTCACCCGAAAAAGATGAAACTTTTAAGCTTGTTTAACTGTATAAAGAACAAGAGAGCTTGTGGAATATCCGAAGCAAGGCATACAAAAAAAAATAAACGCGAACATCAGCTCTACAACTAATTCTGAAAGACATGGGTATTGAAGGCCTTGCGATTGAAGAAATAAAAAACAAATTAAAAGTCACTTCTTCGCTGTAAAAACTCACGACTGACTGGACTCGTGTAAACGACCTGGGTCCAGCGCATGTATGTTTCTATGTTTCTGACATAAATGGTGCATCCCTACAATGTTTCTAAAGAAACGTTTCTGGACTGGTTTCTAAAGAACGTTTTAGAAACATCGTAATTATGTATAGGTATTCTATTTTCGTCTTAAATACTATTTTGAAATATCAGTCAATTATAAAATTACTGCAATCACCAGAAATCTACAATAATATCAAAGTTTGAATTTTTTAACATTTTTTATTTCACAAGACAACTGCAACAAGTCAAATTTACCTTTATTAGTTCCTTCAAAAAAGAGTGCAAAGCAAATACGACGAAGATGAATATACCCTTCCTTCTAGCTCACCAGGAGAGTTCAATTAATCCTCCGCGAGCTAAAAAAATACACTATTGACAGAAGCCCTCGTGATTGAATATATTTTCTTTGCATTGAAAGTACAGCACTTAGCTACAGTACTTATGAAAATATCGTTCCATTTATACAAATTTTATTGATGAAACGATATTTTCGATGAAAAGAAATACCTTATGTTTGATTATTTCGCGGAGTATTAATCGGTCACGCCTACCGTGTAATCAGATCTAATGACACTATTGACATATGACAGACAGTTCATTAGTGTTGACAGTTGAAAGTAAAATGGTGTTTCGCCTCGCTTATAATAAAGTTTGGAAAAGTTTAAGAGTAATCTATAAACTTTTAAATAAACTAAAAGTAATAATAGGCGACCGGATCGAAGTGTATAGTTTGTACGTAAAGCTACATAAAAAATCACTTCCAATTCGAAGTTTGGTCAGGCTTGGCAAATGCAGAAACAATCCCTTTACATGCAAGATATTTAAGCCAAAATGAAGAAGGTAACTTTTAATTTCCTTTAACGAAATGCGGCTTTTATACATTCTGGTCATTATTTCTTTATTTGTTAACTTTAAAAATAACTATTTTAAGTATTGTATTTTGCAAACCAAGGTAGAAATAATGTGTGTGTTTATTAGCTCCCCTCAAGGAACGAGTTGTGTAAGCTGTTTTCAGTCACTAGAAAAAAGAAAGACGCCAAGTTAAAAATAGCTAAAGCCATCATGGGTAATTATTTTAACTTAATATTAATTGTTTGTATTGTCATTTAATTAAAACATTATTTTCAGATTCGGCTCAGAAAATTGGTAAACAAAAGATAAATGGAAATTAAAATAGGTGACTGGTTGTGGAAGACTTCGGAAAGAAATAGACGCAATGAATCAGAGCGTAATAATTATCATTTTTTTGTGTCAAAAAATATTTTTTTAAATACATTTATAAAAAAAAGTATCTAATAGATTTTATTATCCAACTAAAAAAAACGTTTAGGTCATTTCTGGAACGTTCCAATAATAGTATGAAAAAACTTACCTAAGACGTTTGAGCAACATTACAGGATGTTCCACAAACGTCTCTGTGAAACGTCTCTAATACGTTACAAATAATGACATGGTCTTTGCCAGAAACTTCCCAGGTACGTACATATTTCTGGAACGTTCGTGTAATAATACTGTGCTATTAGGGGTGCCACCCAAGAATTGGCATGCCAGCGAGACTGGCGCCAGCTACTGGATACCTGTAAATCGTCGATTATTATTGACTTATTGTTTTTTATTAATACATTTGAAAGGTCTACTGCAAAAACAATCAAGGTCCATTTTTAGTCGATTTTGAGTTCTCATTTCCATCTATGTTGGTGTAGTAGCAGTATCATGTGAGAAGAACATTTCCTTTAAAATCGCACTTGATGTTTTTGCTGTGGACTTTTCATTTGCTTTATACTTTTATTTTTAAACTTATATATACTGTGTGTTTTCTGTTTTAACTACTTCATGCATTTTTTAAATATTGGACTTGTATGTTTTTTTTAATAAATTTATTCTTTTTGATTAGGCTTTTTATTAAAGTTAATATTGGTTCATGCAACTCATTTTTTGTTCAATTATAGCGAATAAATTAGATGTTCTAAACCTCTGACGTCTTATAGAAAAACCACCCCAAGGTTACCTACCTGGTAGGGACCCGGCTTGCCTTCTCCTGGCGTCAGCTCTAGTAAGCATCTTTTTAAATTGTGTAATGTAATGTATACATAATTATTCTGGTAAAATATGTCTGATAATAGTACCTGTATATCCCAAATAACTCTTTAAAAATCTGAGTACAGGTCCGGTCTTAAAACAAAACATTTTCTTTTTAAAATTCAAATAAATTTGTGTAGATATATTTTTTAATTTTAGCAGAACATAAATGGAAATGACATTTTGAAATATATCGAAAAATAAGGCCCTGAAGAAAAACACTGTTTTTGTTTTTTAATTTATAGATTATTTATTTTAAAGCAAAAATCACAATTGTGTTAAGTTTATAAATTATAAGGGGCATTATCAATATTCAGTCTTACTAGTTCTTGATCGATCCACGTTCTAAATTGAGAGACATCAGCGTATACTCCTGGTATATTCTGTTCACCGCATCCGATTCCCCAAGCGACTATACCCACTTGCATATACCTGTTGGGATTCTGAGGATCGGGGCAGACTAACGGGCTACCTCCATCTCCCTAAAAAAAAACAAAATTGCCTAAAATTTGTTACATTTTCATCAAGTACTTAAAAGTATAATAAGATCCAATATTGCCATAATTGTCGAAACAGTTTTAATAGCTTATTAAGGTAACATTTGGGAAGGCCAGACCGAGACCGACTTCAAGCGCGAAGCGACAGCGAAGGAGACCGAAAACAGTATATTTACGTCTGAACACATGTAATTATATAAAACACATTTGGGAAGGCGCGACAGACGACAACACTTTTAGTACGGTAGGATTTGCCGCTTGCTAGCTGTCGTCTGCATAAAAAACGGAAAATTTGTGCTTTTAACCCTTAACTTGGCAACGTATGTTATAATATACATATATTTTTATTTGGGAATCAGTAAGATTTGAGACCCATTTGTTGGCAATGTATAGTGGAGGATACACTATCGTATGTAGCCGACGGGAGATCGGTGCGAAAATTCTCAATTCGCGCATCTAGGTCCGCTGGTATGGAGCAGCGTTGCCAGAGCTGGTACAATTGTACTAGATCTAGTACATTCTCTGAGAATCTGGTACTCTAGTACACTCGAAACAAAATCTAGTACTTTTTTCAGCGTATGCTTCCATTTGAAGTGTAAAATATATTGGTCAAAAATTGCAAGAGAAATTAAAATAGTTCAGAGATAAAATGGTAGACACTTCTCGAGAGATAAAACATTGTTTAAAAATTGCACAAGAGATCAAATATTGTTCAAAAATGGCTCGAGAGGTAAAAAAGGGTGTTAAAAATTGGCCGAAGTATAAAATAGTATTAGAAATTGCTTAAGGGGTAAAATATTGTTCAAAAATTGCTTTAGGAATAAAAATACTGTTAGAAATCTAATGAGAGTTAAAAAAATTTAATAATTTTTCGAGAGATTAAATAGTATTATAAATTGTTAAAATCGTGTTCAAAAATTACTCGAGGTAAAATAGTATTACAAAATGTTAAAATCTTGTTCAAAAATTGCTCGAGAGATAAAATACTATTGAAAAATTTGTTGAGAAATAAAATAATGTTCAAAATTGACTCAAGAGATACCTAATATTAGAAATTACTCGAGAGATAAAACATTGCTTAAAAATTCCTCGAACAATAAAATACTATTAGAAAATGCTCGAGAGATAAAATATTGTACAAACATTGCTCGAGATATAAAACATTGTTAAAAATTTATCGAGAGGTAAAATATTTTTATAAATTTGTCGAGAGTTAAAATATTGTGCAGTTTGCTAAAGAGATAAAAAAGTTGTTAAAAATTGCTCGAGAGATAGAATAATGTTATAAATTTATCGAGAAATAAAATATTGTTTAAATATAGCTCAAGAGATAAAAAAAGGTTTAAATGTTCGAGAGATAAAATAGTATCATAGGTTATTAAAATCTTATTCAAAAATTACTCGAGAATTAAAAAATACTGTTAAATATTTCTCGAGAGATAAGACATTGTTTAAAAATTGTTTTAGGAAGATAAAAAATGTTAATAAAAATTGCTCGAAAGAAAATAGTGTTAGAAATTATTAAAATTTTGCTCAATAATTGCACGAGAGATGAAATATTGTTCAAAAATAGCTTGAAAGGTAAAAAAGCTGTTAAAAATTGCTCGAGTGATTAAATAGTGTTAAAAATTGTACAAAAAATTTTGTACAAATATTTCTCGAGGGAAAAAAAGTTGTTAAAAATTGCTCGAGAGATAGAATACTGTTAAAAATTTGTTTAAAAAACTGTTCAAGAGATAAAATATTATCAAAAGGTGTTAAATCTTTTTTAAAAATTGCTCGAGAGATAAAAAAAATGAAAAACTGTTCGAGAGATAAAACAGTATCAAAAGGTATTAAATCTTATTCAAAAACTGCTCGAGAGATAAAATAGTGTCAGAAATTTGTCGAGAGATAAAATATTGTTTAAAATTGTTGTGTTCGTGTTCTCTATAAACCTTTTTTTGCTCTTTAACGACCAAACTTCATAATTAGACAAATCTGGTAATTTTATAGAATCTAGTACATTTTTATGAAATCTGGTACATTTTTTAGATAAATCTGGTACATTACAAAAATATATTCTGGCAACACTGGTATGGAGACAGTCTCAGCAAAATGGATGAGCAAGCGTGTTGTTCCAAGCAACAAGTGGTAAGTTTATTGTTATTGTTTATTGATTTTTATAATGCAGCGCTAATTTTTTGGGAAATTACTGTTGAAGCATAGTACTGTTTATTTATAAATACATTTTTGGTATTCAGTAAATATTTTTTCCACAAATTGAATGAAAATTTATCGTATTGTATAGTATACACCGCCCGGTATGGGTTACTCGATATTTATTTTTATTTTCAGAATACAAAAAGGAGAATTGATAAAATTATGGCTCTTTTGCCTCCAATTGGTGCTGAAAGCGACCCAGAAAGCAGTAGTGACGATGAACAAGAGGTGTTATCTCGTAATTTACTGAAAGAATTCATTGAAGATCCAGATGATGATGATGAGGAAAATTACACTCCTGAAGAAAATAGAGAAGACGCTGTAGAATTATTACCTATTTCAGTCAGTAAACAAAGACTAGCAGCAGCTACTCCCTCGGTTATGCCACCGTTTTCGCCATTAGTTCAAAAAAACCCAAACTCTTCAATAAAAAGAAAAGGAAAAAAAGATGAGCCTCCATTTAAGTGGACAACTCATGATTTTGAATATGAAGTAACAACGACACAAACGAATGATTTTACAAGACCCCAAAATATAAAAACACCTTTGCAATATTTGAAAACCTTTTTTAGTCCAGATATCGTTGAATTAATCGTAGATCAAACTAACCTGTATTCGACACAAACATTTCACAAATGTGTAGACACAAGCATAGATGAAATGCACGATTTCTTGGCTATCGAAATTTTAATGGGGATTGTTGACATGCCGGCTTACACGGACTATTGGGCTCAAGAAAAACGATATGAACTTATTGCAAATATAATGCCACTAAAAAGGTATCAAGCAATACGACGCAGCCTTCATTTCGTCAATAACGAGGAGTTGAATGATGACAGATATTTTAAAGTAAGGCCTATTCTAGATCGTGTACGACGAAACTGTCTTACAATTGAGTCAGAGTCTAGATGTTCAGTGGATGAAATGATGATTCCATACAAGGGGAAAAAGGCCGGCTCGAGGAGGCAGTATATGAAGAATAAACCAAAAAAATGGGGTTTCAAAATGTTTGTTCGCTGTGGCGTATCTGGGATAGTGTATGATTTCTTTCCCTATGGAGGAAATGATACGTTTAGAAACCATTGTTTTACAGAAGTTGAAAATAACATGGGATTTGGTGCAAAATGTGTTTTAGCACTATGTTCGACAATCCAAAATAAACCATTATCGATGGTGTATTTTGATAATTATTTTACAAGTTTAGAACTTATAACATATCTTCGAAGTGAATTTGGAATTCTATCTTTGGGAACTGTTAGAAAAGACAGACTACGGGATTGCCCACTTGAATCGGATAAGAAATTGAAAAAAGATGGAAGAGGTAGTTTTGACCAAAGAGTAGACAATGACAGTCACATTGTTGTTGAAAAGTGGTACGATAACAAGTCCGTAACCCTATGTAGTTCGTATGTGGCCTCCAATCCAATGACAACTATCCAAAGATTCTCCAAAGAGGAAAATAGAAAAATTCACATTTCATGCCCACAGTTAATAAAACACTATAACAGTCATATGGGTGGTGTGGATTTGGCAGACATGTTGATTGCTATATATAGAATACGCTTCAAAACGCATAGATGGTATATGAGCATTTTTTCTCAAATTATAGATATATCTATAAATAATGCTTGGCTATTATACAAACGAGATTCAAACATTCTACAAGAAAATCCAAAAACAGTAATTCTACTCAAACAATTTCGAATTAAACTTGCCAAAAGTCTACTGCAGGCTGACAGAGTAAAAAGAGGACGTCCCAGTAATGAATAGCTACCACTAACTTCAAAAAAAATTAAAAACCCGGTAAAGCCTAGACCCCAAGATGACATTAGATTGGATCATCTAGATCATTTTCCAATTTATGGTGCAATGGGCAGGTCTAGAAATTGCAAGAAGGGACAAACCGCCATATTTTGTAGCAAATGCAATATAAGGCTATGTTTAGTCCAGAACAGAAATTGTTTTATGGATGTTCATATTAACAAATAAATATTTTTGAGTAATTTTTGATAGTTTGATTTTACTTCGTAACTTGGCAATGTGTAATATGCTATACATACCCATTTATCGGGCTATTTGGCGATGTATACTCTAGTATACAATCAAAATTTTTGACATACAAATGTCATATAATTTTTTTGTTATCATAGAATATTTGTATGACCACCAAACAGAACACATGCAAATTTTCAGATTTTTAGATTCAAAATTAAACTTTTGCCAAGTTAAGGGTTAAGGGCAAATTTTGAACAGAAATTAGAAACGTTAATAATGATATAATATTTGTGATAAAATAATAGTTGATAATAATTGTGAATAGATAAAAATTTTTGATAAGGATTTTGTGTTTTCTTAATCTCCTTCTTGTTATTCTTAGAAGTAATTAAAAAAGAAAATACTCACGGTACATGCATCTTTTCCCATTTCCCCACCAGCACAAATGAAACTCCTATCTAATATAAATCGTAGTCCTAATCGGGTAGTTCTTAAAGCTTGTTGACATCGTTCGCGTTCAACTATTGGCAGTTCGATTTTTTTTAGAATGGACTGGAATTTCCCTTTTCTACCTGTAAATTAAAAAAAACAACGTTTTTTTTGGAAGTAGTTCACCACTTTGAACCTATCTGACCGTAGAATCAGAATAAACTCTTTACCTGGAGGTTGGTTTGTTTGATTTTAAAGTCTAGTTAGTCACGCAGGTTCTTAGAAATAGTATATTACACTAATGCATAATCGAGCCTTTAAAGCATGAGCAAGGAGTTTAAGGCCACGACGCGCAGCGGAGAGGCCTTAACGTTGCGAATGCTTTAAAGGCGATTATGCATTGTGTCATACGATATTTTTTAGTATGAATGCGTAATTACAATAGTAATAGTAGTAATAACAATTATTTTAATTTAAAATTGTAAATTAATAATTTCCATCCCTTTTATCGAGTGATTAGGTAAATTTCATTTGACATTTCATTTAATTATTAAACGTCATTGTTATACGTATTGAAAATGTCGACGGAAATTGAAGAAATAATTTAATACCTGTGAAGTCCAAGCATTTATACTACAAGGAATATGAAAGTTAGTATTATGGATGAAACAGAAGCACACTCAAAATATAGATGAGTCGGTAGTGTTAGTATATGTTGGAAATATCCGGAATTTACTAATCTTCGTCACTTTGGTGTATTCACTCAAAACTGCAAGCTATGCTAAGGGTTAAAAATTAAACAGATATTGCATCTTATCGCAAGTTGCATTCGTTTATGACAGGAGCAAGCACAGCCCAGACAACACACCAAATCCCAGAGATATCCACAGAATATCTTTTGTGGATATCCAATATATCCACAGGATATCAGAAATATTCCGTGGATCTAATATGGATATCCAAATGTCCGTCTATATCCAGAATATAGAAGATATCCTAATGGATATTCAGCAAAATATATAATGGGTATCTTCCAGAAAATACAAGAAATCCCAGAGATATGCACAGAATATATTTTGTGGATATTCAATATATCCAATATGGATATCCAACCAAAGTCCGTCTATATCCCAGGATATAGAAGATATTCGGATATTCAGCAAAATGTTTTATGGTTATCTTTAGTAGAGGTTCATAAGTAACCAATGATTATTGAATAACGTCGAAAGAAAATAGCAGAGATAAAAAATATTTTCAACACGCTGCCTTTGATTTTGCCCACTAAGGAGAAAGTCATCCTTATTAGGACTCTTCAGCAATAAATGAAAATTCTCGACTCCAGTTTCTAATGGAGTGAATAGGACACACATTTCGATCGAACTCAATTACGGTGGATCGAGCATGAGCAGATGCGATAATGGTATCGCCATCTACACTTAGTAAGTAGAATCAATTAACATCTAGTGGATATCCACGATGGTTTGCGTTCGCGCCTAGACTTTGATATATTTAGTGGATGTTCATGGGATATTGAATACACCTTAAAAAAATAATTTAAAATATCTGAACGGTACTATTAGCCACAATGGCGAGCACAATGGCGTAATTTTTTAATAATTTGCTATATAATTACTATTATTTATGGACATTTGCATGTCTATAAATTACATTTCATGGATATAAAATAGATATCTACCATGGACTGGACATTCAGTGGATATTGGGATGTTCAGTAGATATCCAAAGGATTTGGTGTGCTGTCTGGGAGGTTAGAAAGTTTTTACCAAAAAAGATATTTACGTAAGTTTTTCAGTCAGGCTCCAGACTATACGTTTTTTTTTTTTTGTTCATATTACTTCCCTTTAGGTAGAGTTGTAAATAATTTGATTAATTTAACAATTTAAAATAAAATCTGACATAATCTACTTATTTATTGAAGCGGTTACCTGACCTAGCATCCTTTATACGCACGGAAATGGTCATAATCATCCAAAAATTTTGAAATAACAGGAAGCGCGTTTTACTCAACATTAGGATAGTAATGGTAAAAATTTCATTGAACAAAAATTGTTTGTACTCATTCGAGGAATGCGCACGAATTTTACCAGAATTTTTGGCCACTTTTTTGGCCATTTCACAAAATGTCCAGATATGACCATTTTCCAGATTTTCCCGAAAGTGGTTCTAAACACTTTTCGAGGAATTTAATTTCTTGATAAAAGTGGCCATTTTGGATATAATAGGTCATCATTAATGAACCATGATTAATTTCTCCTGGAAATTTTCGAAAAAAATGGATGATAGTGAAAGTCTTCTGCATTTAATGGATGGTTGGAGTTTTGAAGACTACTAGCAAAGAGTATAGTTAACACAAGAGATCGCACTAAAATGTCAATCGATTTGAAAGTCTATGACCTTGAAAATTTAAAATATTTTACGCGGGTAAATGTATCAAATCTAATATAACCTAGCTTTCTGATCATTTCTCCTTTTGTTTCAAACATTTATTTATGATCTAATTTTGTTATAGATCTGTATTTTTTTAATACAAATTACATCATGAAGGTTTATGCAGTGAAAACCTGCAAAAATACTAATCAATTTTCTAGATGGGGGTCCGGACCTGATCAACATTGTAAACAGTTGGTGTTTGAACAGTTCCAGAATTATTAACAAATATCGTGGGTAAACAGTTAAAATATATTAAAAGTATACATAAATCAGTGATTACTAAACACAAGTGAAACAAATCAAACCTTAAGCAGGTAAATACTTGCATTATACCAATATAAAAACCAAATTATATACAAAATCGAAAATACACTTAGCTACAAACAGCAGATAAAAATTTTTTATCTGTTCTGAACAGGGCCGTCTTAAGAAATACTAATGAGACATTTAATGAAAAATGGATGATACCACCTTTCCAACCCTAGCAGGGGATCCTACCAATAAAATTTATTCTCCTGAAAATCCAACCTCCAACATGCCCTACTCAACAGCCCTCAAACAAAATCATAATCAGACTTTAAATCTCCCAACAAAAGAACAAGCAATTATTTTTCAATCCCTGAACAATGTAAATTTGCAAGAGTACCTTTATCAACTAGGAGCATATATTGAACCTAGAAATATATTATTTGCTTCTCGAATGTCGAATAATAGAATATGTGTCTACCTCTCATCACAAACCATCGTTGAAAAATTTTTAACAGATAACAATGGAGAAATTACTGTAAACGGAGAATGCATCAAAGCTCGAAAATTAAATAGACCTTCCGAAAGACTTGTATTATCTAATGTCTGTCCGACCATTCCAAATGAACTTTTAACTACAGGACTTTGGTTTAAACCTAGTAAGTCCAATAACATTCTTAAGAATTGGTGCAAATAACCCTTATTATCAACACATATTAGGTTTCCGTCGCCAAGTTTATATAACCCCTTCCACAAATGCAATTCCTGAAAACATTCATATACAGCATGACAATACAACGTACCGCATATTTTTAAGTGCAGATGGCCAGGTGTGCTATAAGTGTAAACAACCAGGTCACAAAGGATTAGATTGTTTAAATCAACTAAACACTCAAAATCCACTTCAAACACAACCAGCACCAACCTACTCAAACAGTCCTCCTCAAAGTAACCAACCACTCGAACTAAATCAAGAAATAAACAACAGTGACGAATCTACCGTACCTACAACAAATGAATCTATGAGCCACTGTGATATTACTCCAGTAGTAGAAACCCCAACACCCTCCTCTACTCAAACCAATACAATTGAACTTAATTCCAAAAACGAACAGCCACAACCATCTGGATCAAATAAATTTACATCCAACTCCAGTCAAAACAAACGTAATGCTTCCGAAATTGAAAGTCCAACAATAGAAAAAAATTATCAAAATTTTAAAACACCTGAACAACCAAAGAAAAAGAAGGGAGAAGAAGACCTAAATGAAGACTTGAAATCTATTAAACCATATATGGAATCCAATAAAGATGAACTGTGTATAAATTACGATCAACTACATGACCTACTGATAAATATCAGAGGATCTCCGGATCCTATTAGCATTTGCCGAAACTACGAATCAAATTTGGAAGAATTAGTCAATACTGTTATAAAAATTCATTTTAACATAAAGGACAGAAAAATAAAATCCCGTCTCACAAAAATAAGGAAGCGACTACAACAATACATCTCAGAAGGACCTCTAGAACTGGAACCAAGTAGTGATTCCTCAATAAATTCACAAGATTATTATTAAAAGTGACCACCTTACAATGGAATCTAAATGGTTACTATCTGCACCTTGAAATGCTTCAAACTTTAATAAATAAATATACACTAAATATATTATGCTTACAGGAGACTTACTTTAAAGATTCAAATGTTCACAAACTAAAAAAACTACACAGTATACTTTAAAAACAGACTTATTGGAAACAGAAGTTGGGGAGGCGTAGCAACTTATATTCATAACAACACTAAATCAACACCAATCAATATAAATACCACTTTAGAAGCTGTGGCAGTAAGTATCCATTCTAGCGTCCAACTTAACATTTGTAATGTCTATATTCCAAGCGATACTATCCTAGATATTACAGACTTAGCTAATCTAATATCTCAAATACCCTCACCAAAATTAATCTTGGGCGATTTTAACGGACACAACTTCTTATGGGGGTCGGACAAAATTGATTCAAGAGGATATAAAATTGAAAGTTTAATAAATGATCTAGGCTTAGCATTACTAAATGATGGCAGAAAAACTAGATTTAATTCTTATAATGGCTCATTTTCAGCCATAGATTTAACTATTTGTGATGTCCAGTTTCTTCCTCACTTAGTATGGGAAGTATCAAACTACCTATATGATAGTGATCATTTTCCTATTATAATATCAGACACCCGTGAATTTTCTCAAAATACAATGCCACTGCTCAAATGGAAACTCGACAATGTAAATTGGACTCACTACTTATCCTTAATTGAAGTATCAATAACCAACTTTGATACATCAGGGACAATTGATGAAATAGTCAAAAAATTTACAAACATTATAAACTCCGCAGCAGAAGAGGCTATCGGAAAGAAATCTGTGATAGGAAAACGAAACCCTGTACCATGGTGGAATGACAAATGTCAAGCGGCTATCAAAGGTGGTAAAGCTGCTTTTAACAGATACAAAAAACATACAAATCTAGAAAACCTTAACAGGTTTAAAGAATTAAGAGCTAAAGTCAGGTTTGAAATTAAAAATAGTAAGAAAGAATCCTGGAAAAAGTTCGTGCAAAGCATAAATGTATCAACAAATATGACAAGTGCTTGGAAAAAAGTTAAACAAATATCAGGAGGAAATTCCTTTCAACAAATAAGGCATCTCGAGAAAGATGGAAAAGTAATATCAGACCCTAAAGAAATAGTTGAAACATTATCTAAAAACTATAAAAACAATTTTAGCGACGTCAATTACAGAGAAAACTATTTAAATAACAGACAACTAACAAATATTACAAATTTTCCAATAAATACCAACAATAATGCACCTATTAATAATCCATTAATTGAGGCAGAACTAGATGAGGCTATAAATTCTTTCAAAAATTCTAGCCCAGGACCTGAGAATATACCCATCATATTCCTACAACATTTGCCAAAAAAGGCAAAAGAAATTCTACTAGAAATATTTAACAAAATATGGAAAGACCATGTGTTCCCAAACAATTGGAGAGAAGCAACAGTGATACCCATTCTGAAATCTGGAAAAAACAAACTTTCGGCAGACTCTTATAGACCAATTTCACTTACGTGCACAATGTGCAAAACCCTTGAAAAAATTGTAAACAATCGATTGTTATGGGAATTAGAACGCAGAAATTTAATTACTCCAGAACAAAGTGGATTTAGGAAACAGAGAAGTACCGCTGATAATCTATTAGACTTGGAAAGCGATATTCACGAGGCATTTATTAACCAACAAAAATGCGTGGCAATATTTTTCGATATTAATAAAGCTTTTGATATAGCCTGCAGAGCCAACATACTAAACATATTACAAAACTGGAACATAAACGGCAACATACTGGCTTTCATGAAAAATTTCATAAACAAAAGATATTTTTATGTAAAAACAAATGGTGAAGTTTCGGAGAGAAAAATACAAGAGAATGGAATACCTCAAGGTTCTGTTATCAGTCCAACACTTTTTCTTATTGCAATCAATGGTATTGCAGAAAATGTTCAAAAGCCAGTCAAAATGAGACTATTTGCTGACGATTTAGTAATGTTCATTAAAAGCAAAAGCATCACAACGATGAAGCCAATAATACAAAAACAATTAAATGATATAGAAAAATGGTCTGATAAAACAGGATTTCACTTCTCAACTTTAAAGATAAAATGCATGATATTTTCTAAAAATAACAATCGTGAACTACCAGAACTTAGGCTTTACGGAAAAAAACTGGAATTTGTAAAGACTACAAAATTTCTAGGTATGATTTTCGATACCAAACTAAACTGGAATGATCACATCAAAAATCTCATAGCCGTTTGTCAGAAAGGTATTAATTTACTTAAACTATTATCCAGCAGAAATTGGGGATCAGACCAGGAAACCCTTCTACTTATTTACAGAAGTCTCATTCGATCTAAAATTGACTTCGGCTCCATTGTCTACGCATCTACAAAAAAATATATTCTTAATTCTCTTGACGTCGTTCATAACTCTGCGTTGCGAATTATATCAGGGGCTTATCGCACATCACCATCTGAAAGCTTATACGTCCAGCTAGGGGAACCATCGCTTAATAGAACAAGAGAATATTTGACGTTGACTTATGCAAGTTCGTTGATAAATAAGAAAGAACATCCTACTTTTGAAAACACCCACTCAGAAAGATTTAAACAGTTGTACTTGCTAAAAAAAAACTGCCACCCTCCTTTTTATGAAAGAGTTAGAAAACAACTAGAAATTCTGCAACTTGATTTTCCCTCTATATTCACCTGTAATATAAAAACCCCACCATGGCTAATACATGCCCCATTTATCGACACTTCTCTTTTATCCTTGAAGAAAAAAGATTCTCCAGCTACTTTAATAAAACATTCCTTCATGTCCAAATTAGATCAATACCCTGATCACTACAAGGTTTATACAGATGCATCTAGAACATCAGACGGCGTTGGAGCCGCAGTTGTAACCCAACATTCCAAATTAAAATACAAACTCCCTGCCTTAACTAGTATTTATACTGGAGAAATGTTTGCTCTTTTGAAAGACCCTTACCCATACACAGACAATATATCCCAGAAAAGCTTTAATAATAACAGACTCCCTGAGTTCTCTCAAAACCATTGAAAAAGTATATTCCGACCATAAACTTGCCTGCCTAATAAAAGAAAAGTTGGTTCGATTAAAAGAAGACAGCATTAAGGTGGTGTTTTTATGGACCCCTTCACACGTTGGAATCCAGGGTAATGAAGAAGCTGACAGATGTGCCAAAGAAGCAATAAGTAGTAAAAATGCGGAAATAGTGAGTGAAACTTTACATGAAGATGTGAAAATGTGGGTAAAAACCAAAGTTCTAAGTGCCTGGCAAAATGAATGGCAAACATCAACATCTAAGTTACGGGAAGTTAAAAGAACAGTGAAACCTTGGCCTATTAAAATATACCCGCGTTCAACACAAGTGCTAATATCGCGACTAAGAATAGGCCATACGAAAATTACACACGAGTACCTATTAAAAAATGAAAATAAACCATACTGTGATACATGCAACACTGTTGTTACAGTAAAGCATCTGCTATTGGAATGTGCAAAATATAACAACGAAAGACAACAAAACAATCTACCAAATTCATTGTGCTCTCTTTTAGGTGAAAACTGTGATACAAAATCTATTGTTAAATATTTAAACGACATTCAAATTCTCAACTATTTGTAAACCATGTAAACCCACTCCACCGCTAATAACCTACTTGGTTGATGCGGTAGTCTAATAATAAAAAAAAAAAAATTCTAGATGTCATTTTTCTCATGTGACTACAACCAACACTCCGATTGGTGAGGCCAGACTTGTCAAAAATAGGCCAGACTTGTCAAAAATAGGCCAGACTTGTAAAAAATTCTCCAAACGGGCAGCCATTTTGTTTGGAATGCATTTACATGTCCTGTAAATAAAATTATGTAAATAGCCATCGAATAACGTTTATTATAAAAATAATAAACGAAGTTTTAAAGGACGTAGGCCGTGTATAAACACAAAAAATATTATCCTGCCTTACACTTGTGAGATACCTCAAACTCCTAAATCTACCTCTAATATTCAATATATATTGGAATATTTTTAAATCTCACCAAATTCGTCTTTTCCCCATCCACTAACGAAACAGTTCTTGGAAATGATTCTTTGTCCTTGCGCTGGCAGACAAATTGTACCAACATTGTCGGCTTTAACGATTGACTCTTGTAAAACTAAAATAGCGAAATCGTTAAAAAGATTTCCACCATTAAAGTTTGGATGTACTCTTATTTCGCGAACGCCTCTTTCTTGATAGGGAATTCTTTCTCTTGTCGTTTGGGTATCCCATTCTCCCGCTCGTACAGTCAAATCAAACGTCTTTGACCTAAAAAATATTTAAACGTATCCATTTAATACTTCAAATATGTATATAAAAACATACAATTTTTACTGTAAGATCCATAGAATAGAAGTTATGGAATAAATCGGAACAGATTTAATTTTATTTAAGAAAAAAATTACATAATCACCTGCTAACACAATGAGCTCCAGTCAAAACAATATTGGGAGTAATTAACGAACCTCCACAAATCAAAGGCGATTCAAGTCCCATCGCCATATAATTTCGATTCACAATTGCAACCATCCAAGGGAATTCTCCATATTCAGCTTCATTATCTCTGGCTCCGGTGATTTTGAAATCAATGCCGTTCGGATTCCTTATTCCACAAAAACTGGGTTTGGTTGACACCGGAATTTCTGGAGTATTTACTGCGGGAGGTGTTTCAGAGGTAGGGAAAGTAACAGGACCGGAAGATGAGGTACCAGTAACCGGTGGTAATGGTATTGGCGTTGGTGTTGGTGTTGGAGAAGTACCTGTACTAGGTAGAGGCAAGTTCGGATTTAGTCCTCCATCGGGTAACTTGCAACATACGTCTAGCGGATGAGGACAAGCATTGGTTCCAAATCTGAAAGTTGGGCTGATTTAAAATGTATTAATATACGTTTGTGAATTATTATGAAAACGTTGAACAAATAGTATTAATTACACTGATCACAACCAATTTATCTAAAAAAATATACCAAGTGTTTAACTGGTGTCCCGTCAAATAACACAAAAGGCCTTTTTTTCTAAGATTACTATAAAAAGTTCCATTTTTCTCACGATTCTTGCGTTAAACGTTTTTAATTTCTTTAGATTATGAGAAATAGCCATGAAAAATTATTTCTAACGCCAGCCAAATTTCAATTAACTATTATTCTACGATACACTGCTTCCAATAAGCCAGTAGAAATATTTTAGAAATTTTTAAATACTCCCGGACACAATGCCAGTTCAATAGAAAAATGCATTTTAAATTAAATTGATCCTTTAATTGTGACACACCAAATAAGTTAAGTTATGGCCGCGCATCAGTCATTGGTGGAGGTGTAAAAGGAGTACAAAAAATGATTAAAAATAAATATTCTTCTGCAAATTATGTACATTTCTATGCACATCGGAATCACCTTATAATGAGCTTCAATTAATACATCTGTTTGGATTTTTTCGCTCATTTAAATGGAATTGTTCTTTTTTTACATTATCTCAAAGAACAAAAGTATTGGACGATATAGCTCACAAACGATTACTATAATCATCACAAACGACATGGAACTTTCAATCATGGGGAGTTAATATGCTCTTCATTATCGGTGTATTACCAGAATGTTGGTGGCATTCGTACTAGGCTTGTTGAATTACGTACCGCAATTGCCCAATGTGAATATGATGTTATTGTTTTGGTGGAGTCGTGGCTGACTGATAATTTCAAGGATAATGAACTCTGTTTTAGCGGTTACAGGGTCTTCAGAGCAGACAGAAACATACATACTAGCTCAAGAACCAGAGGTGGTGGTGTCTTGATTTTAGTTAAAAGTAAATATAAAACATCACATCTTACTACTCAGTTTATTAATGTTGAACATATATTTGTTTCATTGTCGATCAATAATGAAACTATTATTTTTGGCGCTGTCTACATTCCATCAGGATTAAATCATGATGCTTATATTGATCAATGTTCTGCTGTTGAGCATATAGTGGAAAACAACCCTAACAATAAGCTATTTCTTTTTGGGGACTATAATCTTCCACATGCTACATGGAATTATTCGTATGATAATGGTCTCTCTGTCTCTTGCCCTGCAGAATATCCAGCCGTAATAATTAGTGAGAGTTTTTCCTACTTGAATTTGAGTCAGGCCAATGGAATTCCAAATTAGCACGGTATATTCCTCGACTTACGTTTTTGTAACAATGACGCTAGGAATTCGGTTACTATCGAGACAGCTGTAAACACCTTATTGCCTAATAACTTCCCACATACTTTGATTACTATACGAGGCAAGAGAGAGGTCCGACACGCCCAACATAGGGCGCGGCCATTTTGAACCCTGTGACACAGTTTACAGCTAAAGAATCAGATCGCTCACTCTGCGTCGGCACTTTTGAACTCAATGTTTCAGTTTATACACTGTGCAACTCGGATAATACAATATATGACAACCGCCTATAATAAAACAGCAGTCTTCTGCGTATCCTGAATTTGTATCCCTGGAGTGGATGTTATTTTGGAACTTGCAACTGGTCCGAGTGACCTAACTGATTCTTTAGCAATAAACTGTGACTCCAAAAATAATATTCACTGATACTGACAGCAGCAAGCAAAATATCAGGTGCGTTTTAATCATCCGCTTCTGCTTCCGGAATTGTCGGTTTAGTCGTTTTAACCTGTCAGATTAAAACAAGAAAACCGACAATTCCGAAGCAGAAGCGGATGATTAAAACGCACCTATTAAAAATATTGCGCCAAGATGTAGGCAACACGTAATAAGGGTTCAAAATGGCGGAGTTTTCTATCTCCTTTTAAAAGGCACTCAGAAAGCTGCGCAGTGCGACCATTCTCCGTATAGTAAAAGAAAATCAAAGTATGTGTAACTTCCACATCCATGTTGCAATTTCATGTTGTAGCGCCTCAGTTGCACTACATACGTTAAAATGTCAACACACTTAACACTTTTTAGCTAACCCTTCAATTTGTGGCAGTCATTGTATGACAAAGGATAAACTCATCTCCTAAGCAACTTTGGTTGCTAAGATTTATTATTGATCATGATTATAACTTTTATATTTTTATATGCAAGACATGTCTTTTTAGTCTACGAATTAAATAGATCTTATACATCTTAGTAAAACAATTTATTTATGATGGGATCCGACATTTTAAAGATCCCACAATTGGTGACCCCGATAGAACAGCCCAAGATGAAAAAAAAATCTGGTTAGAACACAGATTCCGATAGAGACCACAGCAGAGCCTGCAATCGGCTGAATCGCCAAGTGCAACAGCAGCAGCAGTATGAGCAAGACACATTTATTGTACGGAGGTGAGTTTATTCTTTCTACTGGCTGCCACACAATTAAACTTCACACTTTTTAACATACGAGTACTAATAATTAAAAAAAATCGCAATACAAGACCATACAATAACATCATAATACACAACACACATCACACATACAAGTAGCATTTTGTAGGTACAAGACTCGGTCCACACATATGTGGAGGTCCCAATTGTCGCATGCTAAAGGAGCAATCGCCCACATGCGCCCACACATATGTGCATATATGTGGAGGTCCCAATTGTCGTATGCTAAAGGATCAATTGTCCACATGCGCCCACACATATATGCTAGTGAAAAATAATCCTTAGTTTTTTTACCTAGGGCAACGAAACGTCCCGATAGAAAACACCAGAAGATACAAAAATGGTATCACGATAGTATTCTTCAAGTAGAAAGGACCTATCGGATACCTAGCACTTACTAATTCTAAAAACCATTCTTGTCAATAACACAAAAGATGGAAACGCAGAAACTTTAAATTATACAAGAAAAACATTTCCAAATAAAACCTAACAGTACACTGTATTAACACGTACACTTAAAAAAAGGGGGAAAGTATTGTAGCGCCTCAGTTGCACTACATACGTTAAAATGTCAACACACTTAACACTTTTTAGCTATCCCTTCAATTTGTGGCAGTCCTTGTATGACAAAGGATAAACTCATCTCCTAAGCAACTTTGGTTGCTAAGATTTATTATTGATCATGATTATAACTTTTATATTTTTATATGCAAGACATGTCTTTTTAGTCTACGAATTAAATAGATCTTATACATAGTAAAACAATTTATTTATGATGGGATCCGACATTTTAAAGATCCCACACATGTGAATTAACTGTCAGTGATATTAGTCCCTTGCCTTGTGACATTGTTTTTTATGACTTTAAAGAAGCGGATTATGTAGCTTTAAATAATTATTTTACTCCAATTAATTGGAAGGGTATTTTAGTCAATAATGATATTAATGTTAGTGTTGAAATTTTTTATCAGATTTTAAAATTGGCATTAGCTTTATTTGTACCTGTTAGGAGATATAAACTATCAATATACCTTAGATGGTTTTCAGCTGAACTTAAAAAGTTGGTTTCTCACAAGAAGGCAGCTCATGCTGTATTCAAAAGTACTCGCTCAGCTGTTGATTACTTAATTTTTTCTAACCTTCGGTCTCAATGTAAAAATTTATCAAAACTAAATTATGAAAATTATATTTCTGGTATAGATCTGAAGGTTTGTGAAAATACAAAATACTTCTGGAACCACATTAATTCTTTGAAACAAGACCATGGTATTCCCAATAGAATGTATTATAATGGTACTATTGCTTATAATGGGAAAGACATCAGTAATTTGTTTGCTACGCATTTCTCCAGTGTTTATAAGAAAGATATTGTAGATGAGCCAAACCTTCATTATAATGCTTTTAACCAGTCTGATATTCCCTTTATACAGTTTTCCTTAAGTAATGTTTATGATGGTATTAACTCCCTAAAAGATAAATTGAGTTATGGTCCAGAAGGAATCCCTGCTTATTTTTTGAAAAAATTTAAATTCACTCTTTCCAAACCACTACAGTTTTTATTTAATTCCTCTTTGAAATTACAACAGTTTCCTGCAAAATGGCGTGATAGTTTCATTACTCCCATATTTAAAAATGGTCAGAAAGATGACATAGTTAACTATCGCCCTGTAGTTTTACTTTCTGCAATACCTAAATTATTAGAATTATTGTTATATAAACTTTTGTAATGACATTACAAAAACATTTTGATTGAACAACAGCATGGGTTTATGGGAGGTAAGTCTACTAATACAAATTTACTGCTCTACGAACATTATATCATTTCTGCCTTCGAGGGGGGTGTCAGGTTGACTCAACTTACACTGACTTGGTTAGAAAGTTACCTGCAATCCAGGGTTCAATATGTCAAAGTTAAAAGTTTTACTTCGATTCCAATAAATGTAAATTCAGGTGTCCCCCAGGGATCTCATTTGGGACCATTACTATTTAATATATTTATTAACGATGTGGCTTCAGGATTTAAATATTGTAAGTTCCTACTATTTGCCGATGACCTGAAATTATTCATGGAAATCTTAAACTTACCTGACTGAAGTTACAGGATCATTTAAAGTATTTTATTAATTGGGCTTCAAATAATGCCATGTCTTTAAATCAACGTAAATGTTTTTCAATCACCTTCACAAGATCAAAAAACCCTATAATTTTTCTTTATAATATCAATACTACTGTTTTGGAGAAAGTTGGTGAAATCAAGGATCTAGGTGTGATCTTTGATAGTTCTTTGACATTTGTCCCACACATGAGATCCATCATTAGTAGATCTCTGAAAACATTGGGATTTGTGACCAGGAACTCTAGAGAATTCTCTGTGCCTACATTCCGAACCCTTTACTTAACACTAGTGCGCAGCATCCTCTTACCAGTCTGGTCACCTCATTACCGGACTCATATTTTAAACTTAGAAGCAGTTCAAAATAGGTTTCTAAGAACTTGT